CATTCCTCCGGGGTTCTTCATCTTCAGGAAAGGGAGGGCAAGAGAGAAGAATGACTTGTCAAATGCCGTGCTGCCTCGTGTTTTAACACGTACAAAGGACGCTTTGGAAGGCCTCTTTAATGGACAGTTAACTAACGGAAAGTGTGATGAATAATAGGACTGTTATAACAGTCCACAGACAATAAATAAGCAATGAATATAAATTGTTAAGAAAAAAACTAAGATAGCAGATGATATCTATGATGTTGAGGGGAATGCTTAAAATGCACATAGATGTCCTACTAAAATTGTCACCTATATAAGTTGAGTTTTTTTGTTGTTTTAAGTGCAGATGCTTTAAGTAATTACAGTGGCAAGATTTCAGCTACCATAACAGCCTGTTAAATGACCTTTTAGAGGCTAAACCACTGTAGCTAATGGTTACTTTATTACCTCTGCCTTTATTAGAAGTTACATTTTGAAAAACAAGTGGAAAAAGAAAGCATTTCAAAGAGTCTGTGTGCGTGAGTGAGTGCATGTGTGCATGTTTGTATGTGTGTATGTGATATAACTCAAGTATCTGTTATTCAGGGCAGAGTAAAGGGCCTGCTGTCATTTTTTGGACAAACAGTCCTGGTTTCCTCAGAGCTATTCCAAAATTGGGACATGGTCTTTCAGCAGGACTCATCTGGTGGAAAAGGAGTGAGGAAGGTGAGGCCCCAGGAGGGGTTGGTCTGATGAAAGACACCACCTGGAAGCCTTCAGCTACATCCCATATTAGGACTTATTTTGCAGAGTCAGTTATCCACTCAAATGTTTGCACCTTTGCAACGAAATTAAGTCATAAAGGATGTAAAATAAAAACGACACATCTAAAAATACTACACGATATAGCACAACTTCTATTTGGTTTTGCTGCTTCTAAAAGTTATCGGATTAGGGGGAGTCCCATTTTGTACAATTACACTCTCTTTTTTCAATGAAGTCACACACATTGCATAACTCTTTTACACTAACTCTCCCCAGCTCCGGTGGCATTTTTTTCCTCTTAGTGCTGCGAAACACAATGGAAAACGCACGATCACTCCAGCTGTCTCCCATTACTGGCTTTGACCAAAATTATTTACACGCCTGCTTACTGGAACTATGGAGAGAGAGAGAGAGAGAGAGAGAGAGAGAGAGAGAGAGAGAGAGAGAGAGAGAGAGAGAGAAAGAGAGAGAGAGAGAGAGAGAGAGAGAGAGAGAGAGAGAGAGAGAGAGGGAGAAAGGGAGAAAGGGGGCGGGATTCGGTTCACTCCCGCAGATTTGCGTAAACGCCCTCGTAACGGGAGGCTGACAAGATATGATAAAGCAGGACGAAGATACGAGTCTATTAGTAAAGACCTGTCAGCTGCAGCTCATTCAGGTGATCTTCCTCCTGTGAGTGTGTGTTTGCGTGAGTAATTGTATCAAAGTAAATATTCCACGATTTAATTAAGACACTGCTGTTAATTAAACTGAGTAATACAAGGGTGACCTTTATTTAACAGGCAAGAGATATAAACAGGGCCAGCATGGACGTCTCCTCCTTGACAGCGCTGTTAAGATAAAGGCCTCATCATAGGGGGAGAGCAGACCTGTAATTAGACACACAGGACTCCCGTTGCTATGTAAACATCCCAACCACTCTGCCTGGCAGCACACTGCCTCTGTGCCACTGCTCCAGCTCCTCGCATGAATCACAGGGCAACATCTGGTTTAGCACGCTGGAAGGGACTTTGTCGGTTTGGCACGCCGTACGTGTGTGGAGTGTGTCGATTTGGACCAGACAACCCACGCCTGCCTCTCTCCTCCCCCTGGCTACCCCTCCTCTCAGATTACAGCGGTTGCACAATGCTTTTTGGCAGTCCCACTATTGCTGGCGCTATAAAGCATTGTGCATATAAAGACGAACCTTTTGCTCAACTGTGGGGGGAAAAAACATTAAAACCACTTTTGGCAGCGCAGTGACTCCAGTCTGCCAAGAGTATACAACAAATCCGACAGAAAGAAAGTTGTTTACTCTAGTGTTTAAAAGTCATACGTATATGCCGTGAATATGAGCACAATTCCCTTTTCCACTCATTGTTTGATTTAACAATCCCAAAAGATTATGTGGTTCCACAATGAGTAGCTGAGGACAGATACGCACTAATAGCTCCATCATTCATCAAGCCGCCCCATAAGTAGAATCAGGAAAGGCTATAGGAGGAGGAGAATGTACTACTTCAATCAATGGCGTGTTTTTCAGTGAGTCACCAGCCCGGCGTTGTGCCTCCAGTAAAACCAGCATCCTGCCGGAGCTGTTTCTGGCAAGTGCCTCAAATTAATATCTGGCATGGCTCCTAGAAAACTCGATTTTACAGCGAAACCCAAAACTCAGCCCAAATGTCCACAATATATCCTTCACAAAATAACTGTTTTGGCAAGCTGAGGAGAGGCGACCACAAAATGGTAGTGAGGATATGAAAGAAAAAGTTATAAACAGCTAAAAAATTGAGCGCAGCAGCAGAACAGAGACTTGAAATATGGACGTCAAGGTGCTCTCAGTCTGAGTTTGAAGAGTTATGGGAGGCACGGATCCTGGATAGCATTGCGCTGAGAGAAGACTCATTGCAGACTAATCTAAACATTACGTAAGAGAGCTCTCCTCACAAGTTTAGAGGGCAGATGTTACTGTTTACACAGATGCAGCGAGATGATAGAAAAAGACAGAAAAAGAGAGATAGAGGGGAAGATGGGCTGAAGAGGTGGTGTGAAAAAAAGATGACAAAATTGATAACCTTACCACTGAAAGTGAAAGTTCATTCAGCCAAATAGAGGTGGAAGATTGTTGTTTTATCTTGAAAATGTTATTGATTGACTGCCTTTACCTGCTCAAAAATCAGTTTGATGAACCCAAGTGCATCTGAAGATTTGTCCATTGTTCACCAAGTACAATCACTGCCAGGGCACTTTGGGGGAAAGGACATTTGGTTTTCTAACTGTAAATATCTGTCCCTCGTGACACAGTTAAACAATGCGTTGTGCCGCATGAGGAAGAATTTAGAGGAAAACTTTGTACGTGACTTCATTGTGTTTGAGATCCTGGCATTGTGGTAGAAATTATGTTTGCTCTACCCACAGAACATACTGATTACACTGCTATTGTTTTAGTAGAAGTCCACTCTCTGGAGTGCGGTTCAAACCTCCAGGGAATAGGGAAGAACTTTTGAAATAATAACCTTACAATCAGACTGTAAGAATGAAAAATGGGATCACTTTTTTGGAGCGCTGGCTATGTGGCATGCCTGCTCCCGGGTAATCATCCCTGTGCTACGGCGGAAAAGCAACATGGGGATCCAGATTAAAGCTGGAGTGAGTTAGAGTCCAATGGCAAACATTGTGAAAGCAGACCCTGTAAACATGACAACTCATAATCAAAAAAATGGAAAAGAGACATGTACACTGGATTCTCAATGTGGTTCGTGCAAGATTGTTGCCAACTTGAGCATTTTTTTTAATCATACTGTGGCGCTGAGCATCAGGCTTAGATCAGTGAATTGAATATTTTGGTCAAGCGATGAAACCACTGCTAGATATTGAAGCCAATGTGGACAACAGTAACAATTCCTCTAGTTAATAGCCTACCCCTCCCACTTCCAGCTAGTACATAAATGACCACAACCAAACTTCTCCCGAGAAACATATTTATTTCTGCACGAGAGAAACCTTTTTAAAAAGTAACTTTTAATTTCACTTTTCCATGTAATATTTATGTTGCTTAACAAGGGCAATGCAAAAGTGGCTACCTGGAAGTGGCCTCTCGGAAATCTGATTGGTCAGTCTAAGTGTACATCATTTGCAGTTGACCGATGCAATGAATTTGTCTGAAATCTTGCATTCTATTTTATAAATAGTATAATATGTAAAATAAATAGTCTGTGATATATTTGTTTTGGGGTTTTTTTTACAGGCTTGCAGCAAGGATCCATGGTGATGTTTGTTGGTAAGTCATAAAACTAAAAGAGGGATTGGCATGAAATGTGATAGACATTAATATTGAAGGTCAAAAGAAGCATGCACATTCCTCACAGTGAGAGGTACAGTACTGTATTTCTCAATAATTAGACAAAGTTATGGTATGAGTTGTGGCACCATCCAGTGCCTAACATGAATTGATATATGACACACCGATAATGCACATGCATTTTAAGTATTCACTCTTGTAGCAGTTCACTTATATATTTTCTCTGGCTCTGTCTGTTGGTTTGATTAACGGCTGTAAATTACTCAGTATTTGGCATTATCTAATCCTCATTCCAAACACTCTGACAGATACATGTAGAGCTGCTGAGTGTTTGTATTCTGAGATTGAACTTGTCAGCACTTTCTTAAATGTAAATCCCCCTTACTCACGACTCTGACAAGCGCTGTCTAGAAAGGCATTCTGGGAGAAATAGTGGAAAATCCCATATGGACAAAGTCGCGGTTGTCTGACAAGACAGCACTGCAAGATTCTGTGCTGCGTAGTCAATATATGTTGTTGCTGATAGCAGAGTGGAAATTAAAAACACATTCAGTCATGTCATTAATTATCTTTTAGATAGCTCTAGGCTTCACTTCCTGAACTACAACACAACAAACTCCTCGCACTGCTCTCTCTAACGGTACGTCCACACGGTTCCGTTGCGTGCTTCAACGGAGACGCTTCCCATTCACTTTGAATGGGGTGACGTCACGCTTTGCCGAACTGCATTGTGGTTCCGTCGCGTCGCTTTGCCTCCGTTGCTCACTTGCGATAACATTTCAAACTATTTAATGACTGCCGGCTGCAGTATTCTAGCTCAATTCAGGATCAATTTAAAAGAAAGTTCCAATTAGTCACTTAATAATATCTCTCCAATGAAAAGCACTAACTACCCATAAAATGATGTAAGCAAACTAAAGTGTAATCTAATGTTGTTATTATATATGATAACTCTATTTATTTCACATGTAGCTTAGCAATGAGAGGATCTTACCTGCAGATGCCAAGCAGCATATTGCCAGAAGTAACAAGGGAATGGGGAATCTCCTAGCCATCCTGTCGTTTCCAGTATGAGGAAGGTGGGCAAACAGGCCTTTTCTCCTGCTCCTCACAAGGATGTTCCTCTCTATGAAGCAGTCTGCAGAAAGTCAGCTCCAAGCACCAACTGCAAAGTGAACATAAGTAGAGAAAGTCAACCAGAAGAAGAAGCAGGTTGCATTGAGCGTGGACAAACAGCAGGGAACTGGGCTAATATACACCCTGTGGGAGTGATGAGATGAGACAAGAGAAGCAGCAGTTTAGAGGTCAGCAGATTAATCCAGGAGGGTTAATTGGGGCTCATGCATGCTTCAAAGGGCCGTGCTGCACACACCTTTCCGTGCCAGAGTGTATGAAAAGTGTGGCTGACCGGCTTGCTGGGAGTGAAACACTTTGGGACATGCCACAGGTTATTAACACTCTTTAATTGAGAGGGCCAGGAAAGACTGATGCTCCAGAGGGGTCTTAAGTAAGCAGATTAGCACTTACCATGCTAATCAGCATGACCTCCCCTAAAGCTTTAACTTTAGTAATGTGACCCCAAACATTGACTAACAGGACGCAGCAATAAGTCCATGTACTGTTAAACACTGAGGATGTCCAACATATTTTACACAATCAACAGAGTTCCTCTTAACCAACTAACCTAACTAATAAAAAGGTAAAATAAGTTAAACATTGTCATGTTACTTTATGAAATGAAGTCAAACTGAAATTAAAGTATTAGTATATTAGTATATACTTCTTGTTCCTGGGATTTTTGGCAGTCAGGCCATTAAACCTCAGCCCAACTGGAACCATGTAAGAGTGGGACTGCTGATAGCCTCCCTCCTTTATAGTGGGATAAACACATGATATGTAACTTACAGTGGGAACCAGTTGGTGAGCTATGATATCTAGCTATCCAAATGGACACTTGCTAGCCCAGCTTGCTAGCTTTCATTTTTTAAGGGAAATACAACTGAGCCACACGATGGGTCCTCCCTCATGTTGAATATTGTGAAAGGAAAGGCGGCTTAAAAGGCTAACCAAAGCTATGTGGGCTTTTTCATAAAGGGGGAAACATATCTATTGACATGCTTAGGTCCTAGACTCTCATATTTACTCTCCCGTTTGTTAGCGGTCCCTACTGAGGGATATCCACTTAATAATATAAGCTGACACGCTGTTGTATTTATCTATGTGTGGTCGTTGTTTTTGCATTTACTTTTAAGTTTTTGAATGTGGGTTTTTTATGTTTGTAAGTGTTATTATGTGTGTGATAAAAATGAGATATCATTCAAAACAAACAAAGCGAGATTTGAAGGATATATAAGCCTATCACAGTATCTAGTTGAAGCCCACCACGTAGACAGTAAACTGTTTCAAATGTGTATCTCCTAGCAACACGCCCACCAGATGTCAGTCAGCTGCTGCCGTGGGAAAAACCCACCCAGAGGTTGACGCCTTGATACAGGTTCCACAAATAAGTCTTAAACTGCTTTATCCTCTCTGGAAACATTGACAAAAGTTGCAGTATTATTTATTTACCTAAAGAAAAACTTGATGTTACTGTAGTAAAAGATGTTACTGTAAAAGAGAGGCAGGAGGATTTTAAAAACAGGTTAATTATCTGTAATATACTTGAACCAAAACACTGTGCATTTCAATTTGTTTCTTAATATCATTCTAGTAGATATAATGTTAATGTTTGCTTTTATACACCTTTCTGTAAAGGTGGAAGTTCAGATTTGCATTTTGATCATTAGAAAATAAATGAAAATCTTTTAAATGAAGCACCTTAAAACTACATAATATTCATTTAGTTGTTGTGGCTTTGCCTACAAAAGAGAGATGTTACAGTAAATAGACAAATCATCATTGCCATTGCATCAGAACAGGGAGGATCATCTAGGCTAGGTTTTCACCATGTCTGAAAGCAGTGCATTCTGACCTTTAACAGTCGATGATTCTGACTAATCAGGTTCAGGCCCATGATATCTGGAATAATGCAATGGCTTCAACATCTAGGCCCATGTTTTTTTAAATCTTGAATCAAGCCTCAAAAGGGAATTTTAAAAATAATAACTTTATACAAATGTATTCTGGAGAAACATTTTAAACAATATGTTTTTATTTCTAGGTTGCGTAACATGTTTGAAGTGGTACACTGAAAAAGTGTTACACAAACTACTTCTCTGAGTGATATCTGATTCTTAAAACAACAAAACTGTAACTTGAGTTGAATTTTAAACTCATGTGGTTAAGGTGCTGTGACAGGAATTGCACTCGGTCACAGTATAAGCAGAGCACTGCGTGGTAAAAACAGATGTGTGCTCCTATCTGCCTCGTGGTGAACCGTACAGGGTGTATGGGAGGTGATGCATAAAGTCCTAAGGTGCATCGCTCTGCAGTGCAAGCAGCTTGCACAGGACAAAGGGCCTTTCACTGTGCGGCGATCCAAGGCCTGGGAAGTGATTTTGGAAGATCATGACAAATATTACACTTTCAGCTAGTCAAGGAGAGCCAGTGCCCTCTGTTTGATGTATGCCTCTCTGTGACCTTCCTCTCCTCAATGACTAAACAAAGGTAAACTGTGTTGCAATACCTTCGGTGAGTCAGACCAAATCAAAGGAAAGGAGCATTCAAGACGGAAGAAAGCTTAATCTGTTGGTTAAGGTTGGGATCAAAGATAGAAAGTGTTCTTAGTATGTTTTGAAATGAATCTATCACAATTTTAACAAGCGTGTAAGGTAAATGAAGGGCAACAAATGTGACCTTCTTCTAAACTGTTTTGGGTTGAGAGTAGAGGTTTTACTTGTACTCATGCCTCGGTGCTGGTTGTGTTGCAGCAACAACTTTAAATCACCTCATGTGACTTCTCTTCAACCCTGACCGTCTAAGCCGAGCAACTATTTCACCCAAAGAAGATCTGGAAAGTACATCAGTACACAGACCCCAGACTGAGCGTACTGCAGTGCACATTACCGAAACCAAGGTACATACTTGTGGCCACTTCAATGTTAAAGGCCCTGGCTTACATCTGTGTCATCATGTATGCATACGCTGAAGTTAAGTGTTATTATGTCCAGAGGGCAGATACTATGTTCCCCTAATCACAAAGCCATGAAAGAGAGCTGCACACGAACGGCTGAGCCAGTGTGTGTGGGACAAACTGCATGTTGAGGTACAGGAGTAAGACGTTAAGAATGACTCATCCGACACCAGCATGTGTCATAAGTCACATGTTCATGACCTGCTGAATGAACCTCGTATTAGCTCTTCTCTTCTTTCAGTGTAACTACTGGCTAAGGACTAACAAACCATCAAACCTCCCACTCCTCCTTCTATCACAAAAGCACCGCTCTGACTGACTGATTACAAGTGTTATCACACCCTTATTTCTAACAGCGCTCTCTGTCCCTGCACGCTACAGCGCAGAGAAACACCCTGACACCTGTGCATGATGTGCATGATGTGCACCTTTGACGACGGCGTTACCATCCAAACAGATCCTTGACACATATGTTATACTAAGGGCTGCAATGAATGCATGTTTTCATTATCAATTATGTACTAGCTCCAAAACATTTCAGAAAATAGGGAAAGAGTCCAAGGTGATGCATTTAAATGTGAAACAAAACAGAAGCAATGAAATATTTGAGAGGCATTTTCTGACTTTTTTGCATGAGAAATAATCTAAATGGTTAATCAAGTATCAAATAGACATTTTTCTGTCAATCGGCTAATCTACTAGTACACAAATCACTGCAGCTCTCATTTTAACATAATAAGTCCAGTTTGCAGTAGTCATAATACTTTATGCATGTCACTTTTAAGTATTTGTTTTGATATCCAATGTCCTGAAATAGAGCTCAAAAGATAAGTAATTGACTTAAAATGAACATACAAAAAAGGTTGAGGTTTCATGAAATAGTTTGTAGCGAAAAAGACTAACATGCTTGTTCTGGTTCTCAAATGAAAGGGTTTGCTGATTGAGCTCATGCACCTCAGGGTGATTTAAGCTTAGACTATGTTTCCAGTTATCGATACATTATGTATTTAGTAATGATTTTGTACCTGTGTCCATGTGTTTACGATGTGTGTCCTATGTTTAATGTCTGAAAGAAAACGTCCCACCTTGCAGCAAAATAGTAAAACATTCATTGGTTTTTGTTTTGTTTTGTTGGATATTTGAATAATTTTGGATTTCAGACTCTAGGTAGTACAAATTTGCAAATGAAAAACATAATCTTGGGCTTTTGCTTTCTTTTTTTTCAGTCCAAAAATTCATAAAGTAAGTTGAATGCATTATTTTGGTTATGAAGATTTCAAATGTTTTTCCTAAAATATCCATTGACAGATTTGAAAACACATTCAATAAACATGCATCAATTAATTAAGGTTAGTGTCAACCCCAGATAGTTAACATTGTTGAGAAGCCAAGTGATCATTTATTAAAATAATCTGTTTCTCCAGGGTCCAAAACAATCAACAGCACTATCTGACAGTAATAACAGTATTGTTGGTGAAACAAAAACAGGGCAAATCACGTTCACCCTTAATTCTAGGCAGTTTTCAATGTAATTTGCAAACATGGGATTCCTGTTGACTCGTCCTGCTTTCAACCCAGATCTTACACGGTTCCCCTGTCATGAGAGCATGCTGTTCTCTATCTGCAGCAGGGAACACCTCTCAAAGCACTGGATTATCACTCTGCTTACCTCCGTTTTATGTTAATTTCCTGTTTTCTAATAAAACATGACCAAAACAGTATAGCATTGGATATCAACATTAGCTAATAGCCTGTAGCTTGTAGAGGAGCAGCGAGAAGGAGAACGCTGCATGTCAACGCAGCATTCAAGAGACAGATGTTCAGCTGGATTTATGGGCGGTTAGGTAAACACAGCTAACTGGAAAAACATATTTTTGCAATACATCTTATTTACAGACACGGTGTACAATGACAGTCTTTTAATAAACCACACTACTCCAAAAACAAGCACAAATCTTGAAAGTGTTGAGAACGTACCATGCAGAGTCTCCAGAAAATGCCCAAGTAAACTTGCTGGAAGTGAAGTCGCTCGCGGGATGCGGATATTAAACGTCTTCTCTCGGCTGGACATTTACACCATCCCGTTGTTTTTGGTGGAAAAGCGAGCGGTCAAAACGGACGTGATATTGTTCTAGCAAAGTGTGGATAAACAGCCCCTCTCGCTCAAAGTTGTAACAGTTTACTACTATCTATCTGCCTTTTACTGGGGTCTTCATCTGGGGGCGGGGCCTAGAGGGAGGAGGCTGAGCTGTGCGCGAGACGGGCTGTTGCTGCACAGCTTCCCAAAGCGGGGTGGGCTCCTCGCGAGCCCCTGCACGAGCGTCAGGAGGTCCCGCAGACAGCATCAAAGTCAAACAACTTTATCACAGACTCAGATAAAAGACGAGACAATACTTAAAATAAAGTTAAATATATATATAAACTTACCAAAGCACTTTCCGTTACTTTTGGATTACCTTAATATCAAAAGCAACGCCAATAAATAAGCCTGAGAGAAAATAAATGTCAACCAAAAAGAGTGAAAATCCTAAAGCAAATTAATTCAGTCGGTGTACAGATTCTAACCTTAAGTGTTGGTCTACAAAAGAATATAGCTCACAAAGTAGAATTTAAATCTGCCCCTTTTACAAGAAATATGGCATGCTCTTACTACAGTATGTGGAGAAAAACAAACAAATAAGGTGTCCACCTACTGAACTCCCAAAAAAGAAAACATTTGAGCAAAGAGGGAATATAGGCACAAGGCAGGAATCTAGACCAAATTATAGACCAGGCCTATGGAATAGTAAAGTTTACAAATCCTGTATAAATGCAATACATGAAAAAAAGCAAATACAGTATTTTAGTTTTTAACATCAGGTGTCCACCGAAAGCATATAAAAAAAGAAGATATTTTAAAAAGAAATGAAAGTAGCCCTTCAGACTCATTTTGCTTGGTGTGTGCATGTGTGAATGTACACTGTAAGAAACGTACCGTGAAATTCACAGTATTTAACTGGCAGCAATTGTTACTTACTGTAAAATGAATTACAGTAAGTAACTTGTCAATTGTTGCCAGTTACTTACTGTGAATTGAATTACAGTAAGTAACTTGTCAATTGTTGCCAGTTAAATACTGTAAAATGAATTACAGTAAGTAACTTGTCAATTGCTGCCAGTTAAATATTGTAAAGGTAATCACAGTATTTACAAGTTTTTATTTACAGTAACAGTGTAAAATGAAACACAGTAACTTCCAAGTACTGTATTTGTGTTTACGGTAATAGTGTTTTAACTGTAAAATGAAACACAGTTAATAGCATTTACTTTATTTTGTATTACAGTAGTAGTATTATAGCTGTAAAATAAAACACTGCCATTTAAAAAGTACTGTATTTTCGTTTACGGTAATAGAGTTTCAACTGTAAAATAGAAACTTTAATGCTATCATTTTAAGTTACAGTATCAGTATTGTAACTGTAAAACAATATATTATTGTATACTTCATGTCATGCTGGTAATTTACAGATTACCAGACATTCTTGACACAATTGTAAAGCTCACCAATAACTGCAGGGAGACAGCAAACAATACATTTTATCAATGTATTCTTAATTGTTGAACGGTATCAAGACCATGTAGTTTCTTGTGCTAAATGATAAATATTTTCATCCATAAAACAATCGATATTAAAGGGCCCATGTCATGGCCATTTCCACTGATCATAATTACATTGTTGAGGTATACTAAAATAGATTTATACTGTGCAATTTTCCAAACTCACATTGGTTTCGCATACAGCATCTCTGTCAAGTATGTGTATTCAGCAGTATTCACTCTCTCCACTAAACGACTCGTTGGAGCTCTTGCCCCCCCCTCCCTGTGAGCCTAGTGTGCTCCGATTGGTCAGCTCGGCCACTCTGTTCTGATTAGTCAACCACCAGAGAGGCTCCGCCCATGTCTAACAGTGCTTTTTTCGGCTCGCTCTCAGCGGAACATCAGTCTTATAATGGCGTCGGTACAGCCGTATATTTTATACGCTAACTAACCGAACTGTACCTACAACTGTTGTTATAGAAGAGTGTGACGGCCCCAGGGCCTTTGTCTTACGATGGGGTGGAGCTGAAGAGGCTAATCAGCGCGATCACGGACACCTGGCCGGAGCCGAGGTGCTATTAAGCCCAGCTGCCCGGAGTCACACGGCGGCCCCTCTCTCTCTCTCCAAAGCGGCTCGGCGATCCTCTCCCCTCGACCACCTATCTCTGCATTTACCACAATAAATGTGCCGTGGTTTTGTAAACTCGTGTATGTCTCCTTGTCTTTCCGTTGTGGCCTACGAGCCGGTCATAACAAAGAGTAAGTTATTTTGTTATAAACTACTACCGTTTGATGAGAAATCAAATCATGGTTTGCTATGAATGATATGTTATAGGAGCAAATAATTCAGGGAAGAAAGGATAGGCCTACTAAGTATTTCCATTAAACTTTATTTTTAGAAATGTACAAAATGAACGTAAATATACATATATACACGGTATATCATCAATTACTCCCCGTTGTCGGCATCTTGCCTATAGCAGCCGGGGCTTTTTAGGACGATGCATCAGTGTGGTAGTCCCGTCATGTATTGTCCGGCAGGATCTGGCTGGACGAAATCAAATGCAAATCACAAAATATTAGAGAAACTTAGTTGTTTTAGATTCGTTAGTAGTAGTTGTGGTAGGAGTCTATCTAATGAACACAGTAGCTTGCCAGCTAATATGCTAACCTAGCTTTGTTTACCTTGGTAGCTAACACGATATGAACGCTAGCTCAGAGGAACGGCAACTATAATGTAGAGTAATAAAACTACTATGAACAAAAGCTAGTGGTTCATATTAGGCTAGCAATAACGTGTTTATAATTGCAATCTTATACGGGTAGTCTGCTACGTTCGGTCATTCATTGTAACGGTCATGAATACATTGTTTTTGCGCTAGCATGTATAGCTAGCCTCGTTAGCTATACATGCAGTATGTACATGTACTGTCACAATGTACGGTAAATCACCCGGAGTATACTGTATGACTATTCCGTGTGTGACTGCAGACATTCTCCTGCCATGACAAACATGTAAGGCCATCTGCTGACATTGTAGTTGATATATTTAAATGCTAGCAACGTCGTTAGCCCAGTAAGCTGGGCTTGTTTAGTGTAATAAAACCACTATGAACAAAAGCTAGTGATTCATATTAGGCTAGCAAGAACGTGTTTACAATTGCAATCTTATACGGGTAGTCTGCTACATTCATTGTAGCTGGCATAACAAAAAAGATTCCCGAGCAAACCCATGTCTAGCTCCGTTGGTTAGCTCGGTAGCATACACGCTACGCCAGCTATAATGTAATTACGTTTCGCGACTGACCGTACGGCAAATCACCCGGAGTATACTGTCTATGAGTATTTCGTGTGAATGCAGACATTCTCCTGCTATGAGATACATGTACTGTATGCAAGGCCGTCTGCTGATATTAGAGTTGATATATGGAAACGCTAGCAACTTAGTTAGCACAGTTAGCACTGTGTCAATGGCTTAGCAGTCCGACACAGTTTATACATTTAAACAGTCTTGTTTGATAAATACACAAATAACAATGCAAACTTACAGGTTGTGTACCCGAATCTTCCCCTGCTCCAAACGGTCCAAACAAACTAGGAATAGCATCGTCCTTCAGTTTCAAATGCTGTGCATATCCGGCCTCAAACTGGACAATGTTTTGGAAGCTTTCGTCTGTGAAATGCCGGTTCTTCGAACCTCTGAAGGAACAGTGTTAAAAAGAAATTTCAACCACTGACTTCGTCGTGGTTCTTCCGTCGGTAGGACAAACAGCTCAGATTTCTCCTCACATTTCAAGAAACAGGTCCTTGGCATTGGCATGACTGGATCGATTGTGAACTGAACCAGAGCTTCCAACAGTAAATGTTAGGCTGGTAGAGGGTGCGGCCAGCGCCGCTGGGTGTGGCCATAGCTCTTCGGGATTGGTCCATTTCGTTCCGGGTACCGCATGACATCATGCCGTACCCGGAACTAAATGGAAGACTCAAATGGGCAGTGACGTATCTCCAACGAGGCGTTTTGGGGAGGTATTTTCTGTGTTAAGGCCCCTACACACCAGGCCGATATCGGCCGTCTTGCGTTGTTGGGCGAAAACGGGTTCCTTGTCGCCCAAAATCAATTTGGTGTGTCCCGAACCCTCGGCCGTGACACGCCTTATTTGGCCTTTCACGATCGACACAAGCTATCGGGCCAAGAAACCACTCTGATCAGCTGTTCAGCTAGCAAATGAGAAGCGAAACGGAAGTGAGGGACGTAAACAAACGATTTAAAAAGGCACAAGACAGCAGCTAAACACCAGCAGGTGATACTTAAAGACATCAAACATAGCCCTTAAATGTCCTCTCTTACCTCCCACACATAGCAGGGACATCTCTGATATCGGCGGGAGCGTCCCCGGCTGTCCTCTGCTGAGAGCTCCGTGATTTGTTTGGTCAAGTCCGGTTTTTCATCTCATCGTAAATTTAGCAAGAAGTGGCCATTATTACATTGCTGACTCAATAAACTACACACCCGCCAGAACACTGCGATCATCAGATGCAGGTCTATTAACTGTGATTTTATAGTATGTCTGCACTTTATGTGCTCATTTCATCATTCATGTATTTTTATATTCTAAAACATGTTTTCGATGGAACGCACATGCTATTTGTTTGTTTATATCAGTCTGTTCTTCTTCTCTGTCTTCCGGTTGTTGCCTATTTTGAATGACGAATACACACTACCGCCGCCTGCTGGTAAGGAGAGTTATTGCCACTCACGCATGCGCAGTTCGTACGTGCTCGGCTGAAGTAAAGCGGTGTACACACGGCCAAGACGCAGGAGAACTCGTCGATGGATCTGTCGGTGTCGGATGTCGGCGAGTTCTCTGGTGACTGCCTGGTGTGTAGGGGCCTTTAGAGTTTTACTCGCTACAGGGTGTACTTTGAGGGTTTTGACTCTGCCCACCGTTTACATGCATAAAAACCTTCATAACACACAAGGGGACGGGTAATAACCGGAAAAGCATGACATGGGAGCTTTAATATCCAAAAACATGGAGATTGCATTTTTAAAACAGTGGCGATAACAAATCAACACAAAGAATATGAAGCCATTTCTTCTGCCAAGCCATTTTAGAGACGTGCTGTAGTTGAAAAGGTGTCACG